TTAATATATACGTAATATATTATTAGAGTATTAACTTAATAATCTTAGTATATATTAATATTTTAAGGGAATAAAAGCTAATAATAGCTTAAAGGCTTAAAGGTTATTAAATTATTTAATATAGTTAAGTTCTTAATTTATTTAAGTGTTTAAAAGATATTAAATGTTTTAGGTAATTATATATACTTATAAGGTATAAGTTTTACTTTTAACCTCTTTTAAACTAAAAGGGTAAAAACCCTAATATATTACTTAAAGCTTACTCTTAGAGATAAAATACCTATTAATAAAGGTATCTTATTAATCCCACGTATAAGTTATAGGTAAATATTTTAATTTAAAATTAATACTTATTAAGGGAATATCTTTAAAGGCTTAAATGTATTAATTTACCCTTAACTTTTACCTAAAAGGTATTATTAAGCGGGAATTACTCGCGCTTAAGATATTACTTCTCTTAATTATATTAAGAGGCGTTTATTAGTATTAGTAATTACTTATATTAATATTCTCTTTACGTATAACTTACTTAAGTTTAAGATTAATATTAATTATTAAAATATTAGTAGGCTTATTATACTTCTTATTTAAAATAAATAATAGGCTACTTACCTATTAATTTAAATTCTTAGAGTTATATTAAGTCTGTATAATAGTAATAATAGTACTAATAATAGTAAATTTAACGCTATTTTAATCTAAGATCTAGAGTTATTTTACCTTAAACTTACCCTTACTTATAATAAATAATAGTAGATTTAATAGAGTAATATCTATTATATAATAGTTATATTTAATATAAAGAAAAAAGAGAATTATATTTAAAGAAGAAGGTTTAGTCTTTAAAGTGCCTATTAAGAGGGCTTTTTATAGACTTAAAAGGAGTTTAAAGTAACGGTAAAAGCTTTAAAGCTATTAGGCTTATAACCTATTATAATTGTATATATTATCCTATTATATGGGATAAAAAGTATAAGTTACACTAGTATATATTATAGGCGGTACGAGCCCTAATGTATACCCCCCCTACCAATCCAGCCGAAGTGACTGTAATTGGTTATGGAAATCGAACAGCGCGGACTTTGTGCCTTCAAAACGTTGCATCTCTCAAAGCTCACGGGGGTCTTGGTCAACGCAACGGAGTAAGGGGGCAGTGCAGGGCTGTGAAGGGAGTCAAGCATGCGCCACAACGCCCCATTAATTCATCCAGATGTCGCGTCTGGTAATTCTTTGTCCTTCTGGAACCGTGCTCTTAGCTGCCAAGAAGACCCCTATTTTAGGACCCTAACCTTGGTGGAACCAGGACGAGGCAGGAGGCCTATTTTCGTTTGAAAAAAAAAGGGGGGACATCTGGACTACCGAGACGTCATTGTTGGCTATGACGCAAGGCAAGGGATGTGAGAATGGGGGAAGGAAGCACGATGACAAAGGAACTTGGCGACATCGTCCCTCGTTGTCCTGCTCGGGCAAAATGACCCCATGCATCCGGGTGTCGAGATTTTCATTTTTATTTTTAATGGCTTGCCAAGATGCTGATCAACACAGTACTTGAGCTCACATGGCGATCCAATGCTGCAGACAGTGGGTTTCCAAGTGCTTCCAAGGTCAAGTTTTTTTTTAATTGAGATTCCTCTCCGTCATATAGTACACTGTCCAGGTCTAGAACATAAAAAACCGCACAAGAGGCTAGATATGCACGCTCTTTCAAACACATCATGTCCTTCTCACGAGCAACATCACCGCACTGCCAGCAACTGCTGCTCCCACCGCCGCGCCTTGTAGTGCCAATGCAGAAGCGTCCTTCATCCGCAAGTCAACCCGCCTCTCGCTGACCAAGTCAGCTGCAGCAGCCCACCAACGAGCCGGTTCGGTGATGAAGTCCTTCCAAGAAACCGCCGCCGACGGAGGAGTGGTAATCTCTGGCTCCGCGGGTGCCACCGCCAACGACTCTTGCATCGGCCGGGGAATAGCCTCCTCCTCCTTGTTGGCTAGGGACAACTTGACAGCTTCTAATTCGCCCCGAACCTCTTCCAATACGCGTTTCTCTTCTTCGACTACACCCTTGACAAGACGTCTTCTTCGCCAAGGCTCGGCAAAGAACTGCAACACAACGAATAGGACAAAGTTCATGCCCATAAGGCCCCATGTGCCCCATGTGCTTGCCCGTCGAATTCTGTCGCTCCAAATCTGCTCCTCGTGGTAGCGCTTCAGTATCCCCGCGTTAAGTCGCTGGCTCAGACTTTGCTCCTCGGCTTCGGCTTCTGTCAAAGCTTCCTGGGCGCCAGACACCTCTCCCTCTAAAACGTGGTCTGTCCTGTATAGTTCTGTAAATCGCTCTAGATCGGTGGGAGACCAGGTGTCCTTTCGAGCAAGCAAAGTCGTGACTTCTCGTTGCGTTGTGGCTCGTTTTGTGTTCGACGTCTTGTATGCCTGACGCGCATTTCGAACCCTGACATGTGCCTCCGCTAATTGTGCTTCCAACGCATCATTCTCTTTCTTTATACCTTCGATGGAGGAGTACCCGGTTATGTCATTGAGAGTTTGCGAAGCTGTGAGGACTCGTGCTTGAAGATTATCCATGGTCTGGCTAAACTTTTGATTCAAGTTGCTGCGACGGCTGTCCGTTACTGATGGTAGCTCTGCCGCTGATGAGTTGGGGTCGTTCGTGGACTTTGCCGGATCACGAGGGTTCGTCTCGGAGTCATGTTTTAGGCTGGATGATGGCTCGGTCTGATTCGGTGGGTTGTGCGAGGAGAAAAGCCGTGACTGTGAAAATATGCCTTGTGTGCTGCACTGCAGGTCGGTAGCTGTCCTCCTACTCAGCAACCTCTGCCGTTGAGCTGTTTTCCTGGCGAAGACTATGGCGTCCTGTCGAAAGATCCGCCGGCCACCAGCCCCAGCTACTCGACCCATTGGGCCGCCAAACGCCTGCATCACGCGCGGCTCTATCGAAATGTATCACCGGGGGGCGTTGTTTGTCTGTTGATTTCACAGGAAGCAATACTCAATGCATCGAATTGTCCGGGCTTTGTGTCCAGAATACGCCGGGGGTCGCTTTCTGCCGTTCCAAAAACGCCAAGCATCTCAGGCATCGGTTCCTGACCGCCTTCGGGGAGAAACGGCTCAGGGCCGAGCTTCGGCACAGCGGCCCAACTGGTGGTTGCTGGCTGTAGCTAGAGTGCTAGCGGTGTGGACGGTCCTGCAGGGGACCGGCTTCAGTGGGGCCCGAGTCTCCCGCAGCGACTCTCGGGGCCAGCCAGCGCCCACGCCGCCCCTCCATGACGACATCTGGACATTCCGGGGCGGCGCTCCTTGCTCTCCAGAGTCACTGCGGCGAAGACGGACCGGACCAGTCACAAAAGCCGCAAAAATCTTTCGAGGGCTTTTGTTCTAGTAAAAGATGAGCTTTTAATGGGTCTTGGTTTCTATCACTAATGGGCACACGGTGCTATGTGTCTTTGATGTTGTTATCAGCCTTCTAAAGTCTTGATTCCTCAACTCATTTCTTGCATCTTGATTTGACCCCTCCTCGCAATCTACTTGCCCCTCCTCGTTTGGCCCTGCGTCGACGCTCCGTCGAGCCTCCGATTTGCGCGCGAGACACATCGTGCCACGATATTTACGAATTCACAAATCAAAGAAGCCATTGACCTTCTTTGATCAATCGTCTCCCTCACAACCATCACAATGGGTTCCGTCAACACCGAAACTCCGGCGCTCGCCACGAACCCCAAGTTCATCTTCTTCACCGATTTCGACGGCACTGTCACCACAGCCGACTCCAACGACTACATGACGGACAATCTTGGTTACGGTGCAGAAAAGCGCCGCCAGGGGAACAAGGACGTGCTGACAGGCAAGATGAACTTTCGCGACTCATTCCAGGAGATGCTGGATAGCGTCACCACCCCTTACAATGAATGTATCGACATCTTGCTGAAAAACATCACCCTTGACCCAGGCTTCAAGGAGTTCTACGATTGGTCGCGGGAGAACAATGTCCCTATTGTCATTCTGAGCGGCGGTATGACTCCCATCATTCGCGCCTTGCTGGACAAGTTACTGGGACCTGGCTGGGACATTCAAATTGTCAGCAACGACGTGCGGCCCAGAGAGGGCAAGACAATTAACGACAAGGGCGGATGGAGGATTGAATTTCACGACGACAGGTAAGTTCGCACCTTTGCAGAGCCCCCCGAACGACGAGTTGATGAACTGCTCTGATTGAACCAGCATTCACGGCCACGACAAGTCCATTGAAATCCGCAAGTACTCATCCTTGCCTAACCGTCCCATCATGTTTTACGCCGGTGATGGTGTCTCGGATCTGTCTGCTGCCAAGGAGACCGATTTGCTTTTTGCAAAGGCTGGCAAAGGTGCTTGGTTTCCAATAATACTGGTTCTGGAAAGCAATCGCTAATGAAAATTTGATATTAGATCTTGTCACCTGGTGCGAGAACGAAAAGGTCCCTTTTGTCACTTTCAAAGATTGGACTAGCATTACCCAGACTGTTAAGGATATAGCAGCTGGGAAGATTACCGTTCAAGACGCCGCCAAGGGCCGCTTGTGAGCAGCGCTCGACTTCGAGACACTTTCCCCAAGATGAAGAGAAGAGAAAAAGACAAAGAAAATATAGAACCTGCTTGAAATTTGACGATTTTGTGGTCAGACGGTAAATATGATGGATAGAATTTGTTCGTTTTCCGACTGATGGAATGGTTTTGAAGTCAGCAGAGGCAGTCTCGTTGCGCAAAGATACTAGAACACCTAGATTTTGTCACGTTTATATTTGAGAATGATAGAACCATATAGATATCCAATACATGATCCGAAGGATCCAAAGCACATTAACAACGTCTTGGTATGCCCAGTAACTATTCATCCCAATTATCTTTCACGTTGCAAAAACAAGCAACATCAGCATAGAGCCACGTCTTCGCAGCCGTCCGTAATCGCAGTTCTCAGTCTGACCTCTTCTCGTCAACTGGCATCGCGTACCAGCACAGCAACATCACGACAAACAACCCTACAACAATCGGGTGAAGCACATACGTCCCAACCGCCTGCGCCAACATGCCAGTGAAGAAGGGGGCGACGGCACCTCCCAAGCTTCCGCAGGCACTAATCGTCCCCATGCCACTCAGTGCATCCCTGTGGGACATGGCGCGCATGAAGACTGCCGCCGAGCACGGATACACAGGCCCCAAGAGAAGGCCAACGATGGAAACCGCCACGGCGTTACCAACAATGTTTGGAACGAGCCACACCAGTATCTGGAACGCAATAGCCCCGACGACCAGCCCGTAGACGAACTTCTTCTCTCCGATGCGCTGAGCAGGCCCCGAAAGGAAGAAGCGTCCTGCAGTGATGCCAGCCCAAAAGCCAGACGAGACGTAGCCCACCGACGACGGGTCACCGTCGCGAACGTTGATGAGGAAGGAAATCACCCAGCCGGAGATGGACACCTCTGCCCCCTGGTAGGCGAAGATGAAGATGGCGCCGAGCAGGACCACGCGCAGCTTGAGGGCAGACATCATGCCCAGCAGAAGCGTCCCATCAGGCTGGGCCTCACGAGCTCGCGCGGCGGGACTCTGCTCCTTCTCAAAGGACCAGAACGACCAGAGGGCCATGGCGAGAGATATCAAGACCACGCCGAGAGTGATGATGTAGTACCTGCTCCAGGTTGCGCCGGCCACGGTGACGAGCGCAGTGGCCATCAAGGGCCCGGATATGCCGCCGATGCCATACGTGCCGTGCAAGAGGCCCAGGAGCAGCGTCCCGTTCTGCAGGGCGCCGCAGAAGGTATTGCCCATGGCGACATTGATGGCCAGGCCGAAGCCGACCAAGAAGAAGGCGAAGACGACGAGGATGAAGGGCCCTGTCGCAACGAGCGGGACGTACCCCAGGGCCATGCAGGCCTGCGACACTGCGAGCAGCCTTGCTCGGCCGAGCCTGGCTCGCATCGTGTCGAGGACGACGGCGGCAACAACAAAGCCGAGCGCCTGGCCGACAAAGATGAGCGAGACGACGCCATAGCCAATATCGTAGTATCTGTTTTTCTTTTTGTAAATCAAATCCGATCAATGGTCAGTGCAAGAATTCCCCCAGGTACAAGAATGGGAGAGCACATACGTCTCCATGTAAGGAATCAAAGCACCAGCGGCACTATCGCTCAGCCCATCCCCGAGACTACACAGACACAGGGACAGCAGCCTGAAGCGATTCATAAACGGGTCCCACGCGCTCATGACGGCATCTACCGCGTCTGCTGCGGGAGCAGGCGAGAAAGGCCTGCTCATCTCCAAGTCATCCGCAGCCACCTCTGTCCGCGGCGTGTTTGGCCCAGAGGCCATGTACTCACCGCCACGGCCGGGGAGACTGTGAAGCTCAATCGAGGCATTCTCCTGAGCAGGCGCCCCGGGATATGTTCTCTGGACCACTCTCTCGGGCGCGGTGAGGGGGGCAACGCTTTCAGAGTCTGCTTGGTTGGAAGCAGGCTGAAGCTCGACCAGGGACCGGAACATGGTCGCGTCCACGATGGCGCGCTGCTGTTGGTACGACAATTTGCGCGGTTGGATTTTTGTTTTTCAACTACCCGGGATACAGATGCGCACATAAATAAACTATGTCATGTCTAACTGCAGAAGTCATCATTGAAGGAATGGGCATTGAAGTCAACCTATCTTGCTTGGCCCTTCTCTCCCCCTCCCCTGCGATCGTGACTAACAGGACCATTTCTAAGCACTCCGGAATAGCTGAGTTTGGGTGGTGCACGACACAATACAATGTACATGATGTACTCGGTGCACTGAGGAACACATCCCATTAGCTGTTGCTGGATGGAAGTCTCCATCCGATTTACATGATGGCTACATGTACGGGCCGTGGTTCCAAGGGCGCCCGCTATCGGCCTGGGTATATGCGGGCCGGTTGAAGACTCTGCGAGTCAGCTGGGAATACGGAGTATTACTCGTGCCCGCCCCACATATTTAGGCGGCTCGTTTTACTCACCACCTAAAGGTGGTGCTAGACACCAAGGCGGGCCACCCACCAAGGCGAGCTAATTTTTTAACATTAACGCGTTAACCCGTGAAAATAACTGTAATTAGCGTCTAGAATACGAAAAGTAAAGTTAAATTACGCGTTATTAAGGCTCTTTAATTTATTAATGAAAATCTAAGTGTAAAACTTTAAGCTATAGCTTAAAAATTTAACGTATCTTATATAATACTTTAATAATAAGTTAATAGTATTTCTATTAGAAAAGGCTATCTAGTAGTAAATATAAAGCTTTTACGAGAAGAGAAAGTTACTTTATATAATTATATTAATTACCTTAATAAGGCTAATTTTACTATTTAAGTTAAATTTATTATAGATACTATAAATTACATTTTAAAAGAGAGAGTATTATTAATAGCCTCGCTTAAGTTAATTAAATTATAATAGACTTTACACTTTATTTAACGATATTAATATAATAAGTGCCTTTAAAAGAAGCTTAATTTAAATTATAAGGCTTTTAAAGATATTAAGAGAACCCTTTCTTATTTTAACGCTCTTTAAGCTATTATTTAATAATATAAAATCCCTTTTAATAATATTTAGAATATAAATAAAACTAGCTTTTATGTTAAAATTAACTAAGATTATTTAATTATTACGAAACGAAAAAGAGCGTATTTATTTTTAATACTAAAAAATAAGAAGATTATAATAATAATAAAAAGCATTTCTATAATAGGCCTAATTATTCCTATTATTTAAGATAGCGTTTTAAATATTATAAAGATTAAATTCCTTAATTACATTTAAGATATATGAAAATAAGCTTTTAAAACCTTTATTATTTTATTAGCCTTTTAAAAAACTAGAATTTCGCCCTATAACTTAAAGCCTATAATTAAGGCCCTTTTATAATAAGCCGCGATTTACACACTATTACCACTACTAGTATTACATTACAGCTCTTCTAATTTTAAGACCTCTATAACCCTATAGCAGATAAATAAGGTTACTAATAAGCAGACCTCTAAATGTATTATATTTTTTGTAGTTTTTACTATACTGTATTGTATTGTATTGTAATGTACAGTAAACCAGGTCTATAACGATTTCCTTCGTAAGGCTTTTTTCATCGTTATAAGGCGACTATCATTAAGGTGCGACTATTATAAGGCTTGTACCTTTAACCAAATTTACTAGGTAAATATATGTAATAATATTATAAGGTACATATACAGAGATCGTGTTTTTTTTTGCCGCGTTACGACCTTCCTGACAATCGTGCTAAAGCCGCTGTTAAAGCTGTTAAAGCTGCTGTTGAAGCTGCTATTGAAGCTGTGTAAAACTTTAAGCTATAGCTTAAAAATTTAACGTGCCTTATAGTAGGCTTTAATAACGAAATAACGGTATTCCTATTAGGGAAGGCTATTTAGCGGTAAATATAAAGCTTTTATAAGAAGAGAAAGTTACTTTATATAATTATATTAATTGCCTTAATAAGGCTAACTTTATTATTTAAGCTAAATTTATTATAAACGCTATAAATTATATTTTAAAAGAGAGGGTATTATGAATAGCCTCGCTTAAGCTAATTAAATCGTAATAAACTTTACGCTTTATTTAACGATATTAATATTATAAGTGCCTTTAAAAGAAGCTTAATTTAAATCGTAAGGCTTTTAAAGATATTAAGAGAACCCTTTCTTATTTTAACGCTCTTTAAGCTATTATTTAATAATATAAAATCCCTTCTAATAACATTTAAAATATAAATAAGACTAGCTTTTATATTAAAATTAGCTAAGATTATTTAATTATTATAAAACGAAAAAGAGCGCATTTATTTTTAATATTAAAAAATAAGAAGACTATAATAGTAATAGAAAGTATTTTTATAGTAGGCTTAGTTATTTTTACCTTTCTTATTCTTTTAGAGTAAAAACACATGAAATTATAGTATTATATAAAAGAGCTTAAAGCTAATATAAAAATAATAGTCTCTTTAATTAGCTTTATAAATAATAAAATTAAGCTTACTTAAATATAATATTTTTAGGAATTCGTAAAGCTAGTTAGTAAATATTACCTTTTAATCCTAGATAGCTACGAATTATATTATACAATTAAATTCATTAAATACTATGAAAAATATAATATAATACCCTTTACGTTACCCTTATATCTTATATATATCCTTTAACCTCTTAATATTATAATATTTTAACTGTTAAAGTATTATTATATAAAGGCGTTAAATATTATTATTTAAGATAGCGTTTTAAATATTACGAAGATTCAATTTCTTAGCTATATTTAAGATATATAAAAATAAGCTTTTAAGACCTTTATTATTTTATTAGCCTTTTAAAAAACTAGAATTTTACCCTATAACCTAAAGCCTATAATTAAAGCCCTTTTATAATAAGCCGTAATTTACATACTATTACTGCTACTAGTATTATATTATAGCTCTTTTAATTTTAAGACCTCTATAACCTTATAGCAGATAAATAAGATTACTAATAAGCTAAAGGAGGTCCTAGAATATAATATATCCCTTAAACCTAATTTTACATATAATATTAGTCGCTTTATTCGTAGCTCTCTTATTATAGCTATTAAGCTTATATAAATAAAGAGAGATCTTAGGCGTATTAAAGCAGCTTAATTATTATTATAATAACGTAAAGCTATTAAAAATTATATATTATAAACTAATAGCGTTCTTTTTATAGTTAACGCACGTAAGATAATTAAATAAAAGGCTATTAATAGCGTTACTTATACTTATTAAGTAGTTAAGGCAGCTAAGAAAAAGCGCTATAATTAAGCTAAATAAGCGTTTTTTAAAGCTGCTAAAAAGGCACGTTAATAGCGTTAAAATTTTATACTAAAATCACTAGAAATTTAAGACGAAAAGGGTGTATATTATATGTAAAGAGGTTAATTTAGCTATTAGGTTAAAAATTAGCCCGCCTTAGTAGGTGGCCCGCCTTAGTGTCTAGCACCACCTTTAGGTGGTGAGTAAAACGAGCCGCCTAAATATGTGGGGCGGGCACGAGTAGGTTTTGGATTAAAAAGGCCCCGGACTGGCGGGCCGTTGCCGCACTTGTGATGCTGTTCTTCAGCGAGTTGCAGTTGGGTTGAGGAGTTTATGTTGTCGTCGTGACGGCAGAAAGAAGCAGCATCGACACTTGCGGCTCTTTAGTTAGTCTTCAATGTTGCTATGATACGATAGTTACACCAGACCGCGTCCAGTACTCGCCGTCGCTGGCCTTACAATCAGGCCCAACTGCAGACATTGGGCAGCAAACCACCCATCAGAACCAACGCCATTGGGACAGAGCGGCCCAATATGGAAATTCCGAGCAAGGGCGGAAACAGAGCAGCCAAGATAATAAAACGACTTGGACACGTCAACTTGTAAGACATGATACGACACCTGATAGAAGTGCATAATAGTGGGCACCAGCTGACCAACCTTGGAGCTCAGGGCACCTCAATGTTTGTTGATTTCTGGTCTGGTTTGAATTGTAGCCCAGGGTTAGGCGCTAGTCGGAAGCTACCCCGCAGCCCCTCCCATCAACCTTCTGGTGTTGGTCCACCAAAAGTTTTTTTTTTTTTTAGTCTCTCACCACCAGACGTCTGTGTACATTCACCCCGCCACACAGTAAACATCGCAGCCATGGGCAAACCGAAGCGCAACGTGCTCGCCGCCGCCGAGGAGACTTTAACCCCCCCGGCTACCCTCGAACCCAGTCAATCTGTCGTCCGCGTCGTCAAGCCCCAAGGAAACAACCTGTACACCTGCGAGTTGCCCAACCGCAAGACAGTGCTTCTGGAGCTTGCACAGCGCTTCCGCAACACCATCTGGATAAAACGGGGTGGTTATGTCTTGGGCGAGCGATATGAAGAAGGCTCCGGTGATACCCGTGCCGATGGCGAGATTGTGAATGTAGTTCGAGACGAAAAGCTTTGGCGAAAGCAACCATATTGGTACGAAGAGACGAGGCAGCCCGAGAGGCTTGGGAACCTGTGCGGCCACTGACCATGGTTTTCACATCATCTAGGCCCAAGGAATTCACCAAAAACACCTATGATCTCAGCGACGAGGACGACTCTACTGTTGGTCGGTTGCCGCCGAGCGATTCGGAAGAAGAATGAAGCCATATCCCTACATTTTAATTCATGACTCATCCGCTGCTGAAGGAAAACAACAACGACAACGACAACGCCGACAACGCCAACGACAATATCACCTATTCTTTTTCGAAGCCTTTGCTTTTTTCCGCTCCCCCGACTTGACAGGCTTCGAAGTGCCGAAATAGACCAGCACCACCGTTATCAGAAGCACGTTCACTACAGTTGTTGAACTGAGGTCTGTGCTGGGGAAGGTATTCCACGCCGCTTCTTGAACTGCCCACAACAAGCACACCACGGGAGTATATGGCCAAGCCTTCCACAGCAAGTACGGAGTGGCCCAGGCCAGATAAACATAGAACTGGTAGTGCAACGACCTGGCAAAAAGAAACCCGACAACATTGGCCGAGAGGATCGTGGTCATGATATAGTCGGGGGTGACTCGGCTGGAAACTCCAAGTTCCTCGGCCGGGGTAAAAGGGGACCGGCCGCGAAGCATAGGGGAAATCAATGATACCAGTGATCGATCAGCCGGCTGCAGCCACCGAGAAGTGACAAAGATCAAGAGTACCACGGCGTGCAGGACAAGTAGAACCATGGCAAACTGTTTGCTGACAAACAATTCTTCACCCATCATCCGCCAATTGACAGTCCATTCAAACTTGAACTGCCTCGAGAGCTCAAACGCCCTGCCCAAATAGCCCTGCCAATTCTTGGCCAAGAATGGAAGCGCAATGACAAGCTGCATCTGCGCCATGAGCCACGCCAGCCGCAGACTTCCACCAAAGCCCCGCCCTAGGAACAGCACTATGCCGACGGCCGGCAGCGAGAGCAACAGTGACATCTTAATTCCCAGTCCCCAGCTGTACGCTATGCTGCCCATCGTCCACTGCCGCCTCTGGAAAAAGTATATAGCCAGCCACATGAAAAACGCGGCGAAGCAATCGTTGAAGCATCGGAGAACAAAAACGCTATGCAGCCGCTTTGACAGAATCAACAAAGGGAAGATGTACGGCGGGACCTTGAGGGTTTCCGTTTAGTTTTGCAGTCAATCAAAAAGAAAAGAAAGAGAGGAAGAACGGAAAAAGAAAAAGCACAGCTTGTCGAAAGCAAAAACCCACCTTGGCCTTCCAGTAGCACAGCATAACCACAGCCAACGTAGCCATGTACAGCACTGCGAAAATCTGCTGCGCCAAAAGAACATTCTTGCCACGATCCGTCAAGTAATAGAGCCCCGTGTATACGTAGACGTGGGCAGCCGGATACACCAACGGCCCAGTGCCTCCCTCGATCTTGGTGTAATCTCGTTCGCCGGCGACGAATTGTGCAACCTGCTCCATGTAGGCCACCCAGTCGATTTCGGTATCTGACGCCAGAACAAGGAAGAGGAGGAATCAGATTAGCTTGCCCGACGGCGAGGGGGGTTGCCGGGTGCGTCTATGCGCTCTCAGAACTTACATGGTACTTTCCAGATGACCAGGCCACAGAGCACGGCGTCTGCGAGCCACAGCACGAGGGGAATGAGTTTGGACAATGCATGGCGGCCGTTTGCAACGTCGAGCGCGAAGCGAAGAGCTTGCTTGAGCGGAGGCTCGTGAGGCGCCATTGTGCCGCTGGCGAAATGCGTGTTTCTGGGTGAGGTTGGAGGAAGCACAGCAATTTACTGTCGTGCAGCTGCTCCGGATCGCGTGGCATTTAATTTGGGCGGTTGTTTGGAGCTTCGGGAACGCGGGCCCCTGATTGGCGCGGACTAGGGCTCAAGTTTAGGAGGGATGAGTTGCACCGTTATGGACTACAAAGCTACCTACTTAGGTACTATGCATCATTATGCTCTTTTTTTTAAAAAAAAAAAAAAAGGAAAAAAAAAAAGAGTAAAAAGGGGAAATAATACAATGCAGACCACTGCAGAACGTACTTTTCTTCGTGGTGAGCTTAATTATCCCACGAGAAGAGTTTGGGCTCCGTCACCAGACTCTCCCCGTTCTCCTCCCTGATTGCGTTCACCAACTCGACCACGCCCTCGGCACATCCATACGAACCCTGATAACCCCAACCCGCGTGTCCGTAGTTGTGAACAATGTGAGTCCCATCGTCCAGCCTCTCTCTGTCTACCCGGACGCCAGTCTTCCTGTACGGCCTCAGCCCGGCACCGTGCCTGATGACGCTCAGGCCGTCGATGCCCTTGCCGCCCGCAATTTCGGGGCACACTTCCACCACGCGACGCATTATGCGCAGCGCGATGTTGGGGTCAGGCACAGACTCCCAGTTGCCAATGTCGTAGGTGCCCCCTAGAATGGTGCCACCGCCCGCGGGACGCTGCATCGTGTACAGGATCTCGGGTAGACCATCTTCTGTGCCGGACGTGGTGATCATGGGGTGCAGTTCGTTGCGGACGAGGACGGTCTGGCCTCGCGACGGGGCCATGGCCTGGTCCTCGACGCCGCCGAGCCTGAGGGAGCCCAGGCCGGTCGCGTTGACGATGACGTCTGCGGGTTTGCCGGCGTGGCTGTAGTCCTTGGCCTCGCGGATGTGTGATATGACGGCGCGTTTCAACACGACGCCGTTCTTGATGCACTGCCCTACCAGCCATTGGAGGTACATGGCCGTGTTGATGCACACGCTGGTGAATTCGCAGCCGCTGTCGTGCCCGGCCGGGAGGCTTGCGGCGTCCAGTTCCTTGTAATCTGGAAGGACGGACTGAAACCACGGATCGTGGTCAAACATGGGGTCCGACGGACACGATGGGCCTCTCATGTCCTTGTCTCGTCTGAAAATGCGTGATGCTAGTGGTGAAGAGAGTTTGGCAAATTAGGGATAACTTCCTCCTTTGGGGGCATGTCTTTTGTTGACGCATGTGGCTTACTTTGGAAATGGATGCCGGCTTCAGGAACCTCTTCCGTGATCCGTTTTATTTCGGGCCAGGTTCGTCTTTCCCACCGGCTATTCTCTCTAGTTGACATACTGTAGCAGTATAAGTATACAAACGACACCCTTGTATACATTTTCAGGGGGTGATGATGGCTTGACATGGGATCACTTTGTAACTCACGGCAAAAAGTTTGCTCCAGCCCACGGAGATGCGTACTCAATATCATAGTCCCCAGGCATATGCTTCGCAATAATCGTCACCACATTGGCGTTGCTCTTGGACAACAAGAGCGCCGTGGTGAGACCACTCACGCCGGCGCTTTTTTCTTGACTTAACTTGTATTGCTCATTGATATTATCACTCGGGTTTAGGAACTCCAGCTTACCCAACGACCACAATGGCATTTGTCATGTCTGAGACTCTGTACTCTGTAAACTTCGACGTGCTCAAAAAGCATCCCGGTGGGGACATAGGCGACGCCTTATTCAGTAGGTTGCGATGGAATCTGACCTAGTTGATAAAGGAGCTAGTTTTGGCATGAAGCCCATGTAACGAGATTATCCAAGTCATTTGACACGACGTCTGGATGTCTGCGGAATCGGGTCGCTGCGGGAATCATCCCCCGCATTGATGGACAGTGGGTCAAAAACGGTTCATGTCCGCATTTCGGCTTATAAGGCTTGGACATTTCCCATTTCAGTCCTGGCTACCTACCTAGGTAGGTATGGAGTGATTGATGTTGTTCTCAAGGAGAAGAGGTAGAAAAAATTGTCGGCGGGATGCTGTACTTGGCGTGGAATGGCAGTATTCAGGAATTTGTGGTTACATTGCGTTGGGCGCATAGACCCTCGATTGACTCTTACAACTACTACCAGGGACCTAGGTATTGATGCATAGGGTGGATTCGGATTGGTCCAAGTCCTTACTCTCCTTGTGATAGAGTGTCGACATAGGGTACCAGGCAAACTTTTGCATAAGACTCACATTTGCACTCATGGCTTAGTGCTCACAAAGAGGCGTGCTTTTATTTATTTTATTTTATTCTAGAAATTGATTGTTCTGAAGCTGCATGTTGTGGAGCGTCTGTGCGTCCGAGAACTATCAGAACCGCTTGCAGCTCTAGAAGATTTGGTGATGCTGGTGAGAATGCTCCCGTGTGAACTGTACGAGAGAGTTGACAGTGTACTCCGGACGGAGTAGACCTGACATATCCGCTGCTCTTGCGCACTTCCCCGATGAGGAGTCCGGGCTACACACGGGAGGCTGGTCAAATATCAGGCTATGACAAAAGAGAACAGAAAAGAGGTTCCAGCTACCCATGGAAGGCCTCCAAGCTCCCAGCCGTCAGTTGACGTTTTTTCACCATTTCAGTTATGATCACTCCGCCCATGCACCAGTCACGCGCTGAGCTTGACCTTGAGTTCAGGTAACTAAATTTGCGCTTCTGTGAGTGGAAGGCTTACTGCGGCTCAGCCAACGCCATTCCTGTCTGCATCTCTGGAAAAGAAAGGCTCTGTTATGTCGACCGGGTCTTGGAAGAAGATGCCCCGAAGCCCGTCTCGATTAATGGGCAGAAGCTGGCACTCCCAACCAACTCTTCGCTGAAGGGAGCCGTGCGCGTTGGCCCTCGATTTCCTCGCTGCAAAAGAAAAAATAATGTGCACAAAATTAGAAACGGCAAACGACACACAGCGTGCTGGGGGGAGAGCAGGTTTTGACTCAAGGTTATGCATGATCCCCGCCATGACGTCCGGCCACCACGCCGACACCACTGGTGATCAGCTTGGCCAGCCACCAGATTTGACAAAGCCGCAAATAGTGTTGCAGAGGCAGCCACTCACGACGACGAAACCCGATGAAAGCCAGGATCTTCCATGCTCGGGACGGTCAACTCCTCCCCTTCCCACTGGCCGTTGCATCTTGTTTCGTATCCGACTGTGCATAGAATGTGCAAGGAAGAAACAGAAAGGACAAAAATGAGAGACGCGCTGCGGGATTGCCAATACGACTCTGGACTGGCCCGAATTGTCCCGTGGATAGTCTCTCGAAAGCATCCCCAGGACCAATTCGGGTTGCTTGGAAAGGGTCAGCGCTTTCATCCATGCAGAGTTTAGCAATTTAAGAAAGAAGGCGGCGAATTGGTGCAATGTTAGGCTTTCGCTCCTCTGAACGGCGTCCTTGCCCTGCAGTTTCTTCTCTGCCCAAGCTTCTTTGTCAATACGAACAGGGAAGGAACCTCTGCGGGGCACTTCGAAAAGGCAGTTACGACGATACGAAGCAGCTCGCTTGAGGACTTGTACTGATACTTCGTCCTTGCGGCCATAATGTCACAATTGTAAAGCCTCGGTGCGCATGCATAGGGTGAATACAGGAGTAGTCTCAGACTCGGAGACGAGATACAGAGTGCTCGGAAATCAAGGGAATCAATGCGAGGAGCCGTGACTGCCCGCGAAATTCAGGCAAAGAGGAAAGCAGTCACCCCCTCGAGTCTGATACTGGACTGCTGGGGACACAGGAGTACCGGAATCCCCGTATTCGTCATCGAGACACCACCTGAATCACAGCCAGGCAACACAGTGTTCGTCGATTCATCGACCCTGTTTCAAGACGGAAGCTCCCACAGCAAAAAGCAATCGTGGTTGCATATGTATTCCGCAGAGTCCTCGACAGCATGGAAACTTTTTCAGTAGGGTTTCCCTGCATCACAGCCAGCAAAAACACCAGAAGGAAAAAGGAAAAGTGAAAGGGGGTTCACCTTTGTAGTGTTCTCTGGATAGCGATTCCGCAACAGGAGACGAGTGTCACGGCTAGTGAAATAACTTAGGCGTGCGCATCAAGAGAAATACCAAGTCCAAGTAGAGGAACCAAGTTTGAACTGTCAAAGTGTTTGCCCTTTTGGCCTTATGGTTCGATTACGTCGCTTGGCGCCGAGTTTGGACTGTGCTTCGAGAGCTGTTGCTCAGGAAGCTTTTACATGCCGTCGAGCACGATATCGCGCTAAGGAACTGTAGCGGAAGGCGGCATTCTGCTCACAGAATCTTGAACCAAAATGAGCTACTTCGAGAGCGAGACGCGCCAGATTATGATCCAAGCCACTTTGGGAAGTAATCGAAGAACCGAAGCCCTGGCCCGCCTTCCGGCGTATCTTGTGTCTTGTGTTGTGGACGGGCGGATGGCAGCAGTTCAAGTTAGACAACCTTTTAGGAGACGGCGGTGGCAGCCGACCAAAAACATGCCTGCTCAGACTTTCCACCAGCGGTAGATGGGCTGTGGTGTCTGTATCGTACATGCGCAGGCTGATGCTCCATAATCAAGAGAGGACAGTCAGGCTGTAGACGTGAAAGCTCTGAGTTACACCTCCTGTCTGCAGGTACAACAATACAACGCTGACAACACACGACTCGACAGCCTGGCAGGCCATGCAAGGAAAATCGTTTTGGGGCGGGCTGTTTTAATTATGCAGTTCCGGGAAACACCCACTGCTCCAAAAGAGGCCACGGCCATCCCTTTAAATGTGCGAAGGTGCAGCTTTTATAGCGGACCGGGGTATGGGCCAATAAGAAGCCAATTATTAAAAGGTACCTAACCACACTAAGAAATTATATGATGATATAAGTACTAGTAATCTTTAGATTTACATAAAGCTACCTCACACTTATCACAGCTGAATTGGGCGTACGGGGCCTTTTTAGCCCTATTCCCAATTTCCCAGAGACCTCTATAAGCGCTGTTTTTTG